ACATATGAAAATCTTGAAAATGGACGGTGTAGATAATATATTATAAAATGCACATCATAAGGTAGCATCCTTATATAAACTTTTTCCAACTAAAAAATATCAAAAGGGATTCATTGTAGAGTGGCACATAAAAGTTGTCTTTTCGGTTTTGTGATATGCGAAATAAAAATCGAAAAAAGTCTCAAATATTCAATCTATTTATAATAGGAGAAGTTTCAAATATTCAATCGCATTCGGTCACCAATGTCCATCTTTAAGATGGGCGTGGTAAAAAACTCATTGGGTTTATAGATGTAGAATTGTTTTTTTTAAAAAATCACATTTTAAATATAAACAATGTTATTTATTTTTCATGTTCATGATCATCTTACCCTAGATCATGAATCCTTAGATTTTTAGATTAAAAATCTACTTTTAAGATGGTTTAGTCAGGGGTCCACATATGTACAGTATGAGTCGGCTGACATAGAAACGCATCCTTTATAATAGCCAACGGCAACGGAACGCGTGGCATAATGGCATTCATCTATGAGGATCCCAAAGTTTTAAATTGGGAGATATTAGGAGTAAATGAGTGGATGTGAATTGAGAAAGAAAATAGAAAAAAGTTTTAAAGGCTTTGACAATTGAAAATAACATTAAAAGAACAAAAATATCATTAAGCTTCATAAAGGATTTACACCCTTATTGTTCTTGTTCAATAGTGAAAAGATGTATGGAGACTTATGACTTCATTAAAGATAATAGTTATTGATAGAGTGGAATGACGGATCAAAATTTTGTATAACCAATGTCAAATAATTTGAAAAAAAAACTCTGATGATGATGATGATGATTTATTCTTTGTCAATAATAAAGATGCAAACCATCACATGTACCAATTACTTCTCACTCAGTAATATAGATGTAAGCCATCGCATGTATCAACTACTATTCTTTGGGGAACTAACAACTTGAAGAATAGGTCACAATCTCCCACAAACCACTCAAACTTGAGGCTATGCATTTTTTGGCATACGAGATGTCTAAATGATACTCCATATGTATTCCTACTTTCAATCTATTATTTTATAGCTCAAAAAATGATGCAGATTTAATAACATGAAGAGGAATAAATGAAACCGTGATAAATGATCCAAAATCAAATTTAAAAATAATCTATATTTAAACCTGGAAATCTATTTTTTCTAAATTCATAATAGTGGTGCTAGAGATTATTCAGATGTAAAATTTGATTTTGGAATCCAATATTGATAATGACATAGATCTCATCTGAAAAGGAGCTAAGTAATGCACAGGGAGGAACTATACCCATTAGGGGTATGGTAGTCATTTTACGGAATACTTTGACAGGGTGATTTATCTGGTCAGATCCTTTAGACGAGTTAGAAGAGGGCGAGAGCACAGTATATATTTACTCTCGCACTCATAATACTGACTTGGGTGAGTTTTTTAATATCCAATTTTGGGGTTCACTTAATAATCACTAGATAATTATTTAAAAAATACTTTTTATATTCATTTTTCTAAGTGCAAATCATTTTTTTTAAACTCTTAGATATTATATTCTCAAAATTAGACCGTTGCTATTGAATATTGGGACATTATTTTGTTCAAGTGTATAGAGAGTGCAATTACTATTTTTTTTTAAAAATTGTTGATATTAGTTAATGCGTTGAATTGATCATATTTCCAAGTTTTGGGGGTCCTATACTTAATCCTAAATTAGGTTTACTTGAGAGAGTAAATACATAACATACTCCTATAGGAGCATAAAACTTTATGCCAAAACTTCTGTCGTCTAATTGAAAAAGTTACAAAAGGTTGCAAACTTATGATACAAAAGCAACACACCCCTAAAAAATTAAGTTGAAAAGAGCGTTTTGAAGTTGGAAAACTTTCAAAGTGAGACCTCAACACATGGATATAAAGAAAATAAATTTTAAGCCTTAAAAATCAGAATGAATTACCCAAAAAAATCTCTAAAAATAGTATATAAAGAAAATAAATTTTAAGCCTTAAAAATCAGAATGAATTACCCAAAAAAATCTTTAAAAATAGTATATTTTATAACAAGTTATCTAGGCTATTTATTTTCAAGATATTTTAATATTTATAGATCTACTAGATCTCATCATTTTTAGAATTTTAAGATTCATAATTAGAGTTAATTATGAATTTTGATCTACATAATCTAACAAAATTTAGAGATACTCTTTTCTTGTTCGGTATAAAGTGAGAATCTTATAAAAACCCAACCCATGAAAAATGATCTTATAAGACTTTTTTTCACGCATGTATGTAAGATCTTCAAAAGATCATCATTAAACTTGACACGGATCTATAGAAAAATCAAATCCCACGTGTATGTGATAATTGTTTTAGAGATCCATACCAATTTTAATGATAATCCTTTGAGTTCTATATTTATGGGTGGTCTTAAAATCGTTACTCCATAATAAATATATAAAAAATGGCCCATTTGAAAATAAACCTTGAATATGAAATTGTAGAGGTACCCCCCACGCCTTCATGATATATCAAAGCTTCCCATCAAAACGGCACCATGCCATGTTTCCTATATTACCCCCAACATTCCCAGAAAATGACAGTCAGCCCTAATTAATTTGCAATAACCGAGATAAAAGTAGAAAACCCAATTTAGTAATCTAATATCCAATAAAACTTGGCCACGTCTACTATACTTCCTCGGGAGTATAATTTATTTCTAAACTCTCTCCTTAGGAAGGTTTTGGATTTAAGATTTTGCGAACTACTTATTAGATGATTAATCTCATAAAAAAATAAAAACAATTGAGTTTTTTAATATTTAAATCTCATTGTTTAACAATCAAATAGTCCTATTCAATATCAGGATATATATATATATTTTAAGTGTATAGAGGTAGGGGTGGTAATGGATCTAGGTATGATTCTAAATATTGGATTAAGCAAATCGTGTCTTTTTGGACTTGAATACTATTTGGGTTTAGGTTTAGGTCTAATAATATTTTTCGTGTCCTAATATAAAATATAATTAAATAATTTTATTGGGACCCGACCCAATCACGAATTTATTTTTAAGGTTAATCTGTGGATTGAGGAGATTACATCTCCAAAAAATGAGTGCTAAATAAAATTTTATCTAAAAAGAGTAAACAGACATTCTACTCCTGCGGGAGTAGAATATCTTTTGACAAAACTTGGACTTCTCGCTGGCCGCACCCAAAAACTCGGCGATGAACCTTTATTCGGGTCCCACTTATAGTTTCGGACAAATTTCGGGACGGAGGTAATTTCAAATGTTTTCCCGTTTTTCAATTACGGGGAAACGAAATTTTGTCTCAAAATCTCCAGAAATTTTCAATACAATGTGAAAATCCCTTACTGAAAAATTTGAAACATTAGAAAATGTTTCGTTAGGATGCGGGGGGACCGAAATTTCGTTTCGAAATCTACTGAGATTTTGAGGCGCGCGAGGCGGGAGGCCATGTGGTGTGCGGGCGTTGTGCGGTTTTCCAATCCTATAAATACCATGCTCTCCCACCTCTGAACTGGAATTACAAGATTTCCCCATCCCCTTTTTCCCTATATCGTGTTTTTTAGGGCATCCTATACTATTCCATTTTTTATTTGTAGGGAAAAAAGGGGGCCTAAAAACAGGAAAAATAGTGGAAAAAAGGAGAGTTGTTGCCTTTGCAACTTCGTATTTCCTGTGCTAAATGCGAATAAGGTGCCGTGTTTCACAGTGCTTTTTACTTTTTTTTTGTTGGTTTTTTTTTTTTTTTGGATTTTTGCCCCATTTTTTCGTGTTTGTTCTGTTGATTTTTGTGAGGTTGAGAATGTGCATGATCGATTGAATGTTTTCTGTTTTTGCTCTGTTTTTGTGATTTTTGATGTACTTTTTTGGTGTACTATTGCTTTATTTCATGGATGATTGGTGATTATTGAGGTTTTTTGATGTCAAGCCTTTAGTTTTTCGTTTGTGCTTTTTTCGTGGAATTTCCTCTCTCTCTTTCTATATATATATATATATATCCAATGATTTCTCTCTATATTGATTGTTTAATCTGCAGAATTTATCTCTCTGTTTTCCTGATCTCAGTCTTCACTTTTGCTATCTCTCTCTCTCTATATAGAATAAAATAGTATTTCTTTACTCTTTTCAAAATTTTCAATACCGTAATAAAAGGCTCTAAATCTCTAGCTATGTCTTCATTTTCTCTCCTCTCTATTCTGTCGCTATTTGTTCGCTTTTGTTCATTCTCTCTCTAGTTAATACGAAGTTTTTTGGTGTAGTATTGGTTTATTTTCCTGGATGATAGGTGATTATTGAGGTTTTTGACGTCGAGCCTTTAGTTTTTCGTTTCCGCTTTTTCGTGAAATGTCTTCTCTCGGTCTCATTCTATATCCAATGATTTCTCTATCTATGTTGATTGTTTAATCTATAGAATTTATCTCTGTGTTTTCCTGATCTCATTCTTCACTTTTGCTCTCTCTCTAGAATAAAATAGCATTTCTTTACTCTTTTCAAATATTTCAATACCGGAACAAAAGGCTCTAAATCTGTATCTATTCCTTTATTCTCTCCTCAATCCTCATCCCTATGTCTCTATCTATTTGTTCGCATTTTTTCATTCTCTCTCTAGGTTTTTCGTCATATTTGTCAATATATTTCTGCATATTTGTTAAATTTCCGGAAATGTTCTTTGTGTCTGTAGTGCTGGTCTTCTTCTTCTCCTATTTTTCTCTGTTTGGTGTTTTTCTTCCTTTTTTGAGTTAGGAGACGTTTTTGAAGCGCTTTGAATTTCATGGTTTCATGTTTATTCACACTTTGCGTGTTTGCCTCTGCTTCTCTTCGTGTTTTCTTCTTGTTATCATTAATCATTGAAATATATATTTCATTCTGCAGCTGTCAATGATTCATTTTCAAATTGTTTAATAATTTTCCTTTTATTTCTTTCACTTCTCTTAATTGGAAGCTTCCCTTCAATTTTTTTTCTTTTCCTGTTTTTAGAAAAAAATAATCATCTTTTGGGTTTTCTTTGCCCTTCTTTTTACCTTCTTCTTTGGTAAATTTGAAATTTCTCAAGCCCTATTCCTTTTAATTCTTTCACCTCTCTTAACTGGAAGCTTCCTTTCAATTTATTTCTTTTTCCTGATTTTTTGAAAAAAAAAATCATCTTTTGGGTTTTCTTTGCCCATCCTTTTACCTTTTTCTTTGGTAAAAGCTTGAAATTTCTCAAGCCCTTCAAGAAATATTCTGTATGTTTTTTTAAGAAATCTCTCTCTCTCTCACATACACTCTGTCTCACACACTCTCTCTCTACCCCCATCAAAAGTCCTTTCTTTCTCTAGAATAAAGGCCTGGACACTTGGTTATGCAATCAACAGTTAAAGAACAGAGGTATTTTTCCTTTTTTGGGTTCCAATTATTTGAAAAAAATTATATATTATACTTTGTGGGTAAAAAGTTCAGAGCATTAATTTGCTAAACCACGTGGTTTCTGCTTTCTCTCGCTGTATTTATGTATATTAACTTTTGAATGTTGTCTCTGGTCCTTATCCATTGTTCTCTCTGAATACCTCCAAATCTAGAAAATATTCACAATTCTTCAATTGTTTACAAATTTCTACCTTGTTTACGAAGAATATGCACATCTGGAGGTTTCTTTAGCCGTTGAAAGCCTGACAACTGTCCCCTTTCTCTCTCTATTTATCCCCCTCTCTCTCTCCTAACCTTTTTATCTTCACCTTTTACTGGATTCCAAATTCCCAACTGTTTTTTACTTTTTCCAAGTTTTATTTATCTCTGTAACATTTATTCAAATTAGTAGATCACATGGTTCTCGTAGTATCTACCTTTACTTCTTTTGTCTTCTCCTTGCGATACCTGTAAAGAACAGGCACCCTGAAAGCAACATCAGGACTGTGGCATCAGCCTTGGATAGCTTTTCTATCGGTGGGTTTTCCTGGATTTGAACCCAGGACCACATTGGTGAGACCCTTACACCCTAACCACCAAGTCAAGAGCCTTAATCACCATTTTTTCTTTACTGAATATTCTCCTCCTGTTTTTCTAGAAAGTTTTTTAGTTTCACCTGGTTATCTGAAGACTTATGCCTGTTGGTCTCAGTCTTGTCCCCATTTCAGGTGAGATACTGTCAGTGGAAATCAGATGTTACTCTGCGTTTAAATATATTTCAATTTGAAAATAAGATGGTTTGATGTGGTTTTTTCAAGGGTGATGCATATTTGTTGTATTTTATTAAATGCAAATTCCTGGTTTGAAGCCGATTTGGGGAGTACTAATGTTTTTGAGGAAAATAGACGTGCTTGTACGTCTTAATTCTGGAGGAGACGATTTCTGGGTATGTTTTGTTTCTTATTTTGATGTTGCGAAGGGAGTTTTGATTGACAACAGGTTTTGTGGTTCAATTTGTACCATATTATCCCATCTAATTTGTATTTAGCTGTTCTACACTTTTTTGGCTGGTCATATATAAGAAAAGAAAAAAAAAAGTATTTTGGGCAAAGTAATTTTGTTCTGAGGCAATGTGAACTTGGGTTTATTTGTACTTTGCTTTTTTCATCGTTTACATCACTAGATCTTGGGTTATTGGATTAGTTTCTGGTGATTCTCTGTCAAGATGTTTGCCTTTTGTTTTTGTAAAAGAAAGAAAGGGTTTTTCCTGTAATTATTCCTCTTGTTCAGGGTTCTACATGATGCAGATTATATTATTTGGGTTATTTTCCCAGATCTGTTGATCGTTGTTTTCAATTTAGCTGATCTATGCTCTTTTTGCTCTTTTGGATTGGTTTCTTGACTAACACAGTAATATTATTTCTTTTAGATTTGAAGAAAAATGTCTTTTAAACATTGTTGATGCATGCTATTTTTCTGATGGTATGGTTTGGTTCCTTTTCTGTTATTATTTTAAATTTTGGGCTTATTGTGTTTGTTTTCTTCATTGTTTTTTTTCTCTCTCTCTTCATCTTCTGTTTTGATTAAAGCCTATTTGTATCTTTTGCTTTAATTAGAGGCTAATGGAACCTTTCCTTAGATTTTGCCCATATTTATCTTTTTGAGTTTATGGAATTTGGGTTTTTGATAATTTACAGCTATGGACACAACAATTGTTTTATTAGTTTTGTGGTATATCTCTGGTTTGATATCTTGTTTCAGGTTTTGATGGTGATTGTGTGTTTTTTCTTGAAATTCAATGTTTTTAAGATTCTGATTCTTTGTGTTTATGTGACAGGTATTGGATTTTTGTCAAGTCTTGAGGCTCTGTGGCTTTGCAAATCTCACACCCATCTACTGTCATTGGGTGATCAATATTCAGTTAACTGAGGGTTTACCTGAACAACTAAGTACGAGATTGAGATTCTGATGCATAATTGATTAGAACTCAAGTTCCATCATGGTTGCCACTGTGGCTTTTTCCTCTGCATTTCTCCCAGTCGGGTCTTCTCTCTCTGCACAAAACTCCTCTGCATCATCCAATGGCAAGGCTTCAATGGCACTCGGTGGGAATTCGAAGCCTGTTTCCTATGGTGGTGTTCAGGCCAAGGCCAATGCTCAGGCCCCTCCTAAGATAAATGGTACCAAAGTGGGTTTGGGTTTGAAAGAAGCTCAAGATGAAGAGGTCTCTTCTTCTTCACCTTCTCCTACCCAATCCAAGACCTTCATTAACCAGTTGCCTGATTGGAGTCTTCTTCTCACTGCCATCACAACCATCTTCTTGGCGGCTGAGAAGCAATGGACAAACCTTGACTGGAAGCCGAGGAGGCCGGAGCTTGTTGATGCATTTGGGTTTGGAAGAATTGTTCAGGATGGGCTTGTGTTTAGCCAAAATTTTTCAATCAGGTCGTATGAGATTGGAGCGGATAAGACAGCGTCTATAGAGACGCTGATGAATCATCTGCAGGTAATGGTTTTTTGTGTATGGTATGTGTGTGTGTGAGAGAGAGAGATGGCTTTAACAAGGAATGGTGGCATAACGAAATCTTATTCTCTCTATTTAAATAACAATTTAATTCTCCCATTTGAAAACTGTTTGTCTCATATTGACTTGGTTTTCTATGAAGTTGCATGAACAGTTTTGATTTGATTTCGAGAAGTATGACTTGATTTAAAAGTATTATATGGAAATGCGATGAAATTTTGTATGGAAATGCACGAAACTTATTTGATTTATGATATGGAATGGATAAACTTGCAGGAAACTGCCCTCAACCATGTTAGATGTGCGGGCCTCCTTGGGGATGGTTTCGGTTGTACACCAGCGATGAGTCGAAGAGATCTTATATGGGTGGTCACTCGCATGCAGATTCTGGCTGATCGCTACCCATCTTGGTATGCTGCATCCACCCTAAATTATTTTCTTCCTGTTTTCTCCATGGCCGTGATGTATTATCCTCTAATACCCTTTCTTTATTGGTGCTTTGAACATAAACCAAGTCCCATGAACTCACCGGAGTAATGTACTCTCTAGAACAGGGTTAAAAAATAAAAAATTGTTAAGAATAAAGGGAAAAAGGTGAAAAACCAACTAAACCATGAACAACAGTAGACGTCCAAAAACGATTGGAAAAATATATAAAGATGGAATTTTGAAAAAAATTGGTTTATAGCTGGAAGCAATTTATAAAAATATCAAAAAGGGGAAAATAGTAAAATATAGGAAATGAGAAGAAAAACTGAGGAATCATCATAAAAAATATATATAAAATATTTATACATTGATCTAAAGAAAATATATGTAAGTTTTATGATTTTTTTATATAAACCGAGTTTGTGCCTTGGTACTAGTCTCAATAAGGTGTTGAGTTCGACTTAGCTGAGTTTTTGAACGCTGACTTTGACACCAATTTTTGTGTAGACATCAGCTAACATGACATTGAATGGTATAATTATATATTTCACACGAGTGAATTGAGGATTGTGACTGTATTGAGAGCAATGAGTGGTTCACTTTTTTTAGTTATAAACAAATGTAGTTTGGCATGGCTTGTATCTGAGTTGGTATTAGGCATTCAAAAGGGTCAATAAGAAGGAAAATAAACATCTGGGACACGTTGTGGAGAAATTTGTAAACTATACTTTACATTTGGATGATTAACCATGAAATTTCTACTGGTGTTGGGTTCAGTGAATAGTGGATTGGTTTCAGTGTTCACAATTGTCAGGTCCCCATCAGTGATCAACCCCAAAGTAGTTTTCCACCAAAGTTGTAGATGAAACTATAGGAAAGTCAGGAGGCATTGACAGGAAAATGGCTAAATCTTAACTTTAGGGAGATATTTGCTTTCATAGTACGTGTATAGAGTTCTAGGAATTGAGCTTGGGTCAAGACGTTAGAGGCTGGCTTTTCATAGTTCATCGTCTCAAGTACCATTCCTATGTAACCTTGTCAGAAAAAAACGAAAAAGCATAGAGTTTTGAGCAGAGGAATTTAGCTAAGGTGTTTTAGAAGGTTAAAGGCATGCTCCTAGGTAATAGGCATGTGGATTTTTTCATGATAAGCAAAGGTATTGGAGATTCGGGAGTGGGGTTAAGTCTTTTGAGGGTCATGATTAATGTATGGTCTAGGAGAGGGATAGATGTTCCTCTCTAGGTCATTAGGTGAATTAAGTTATTTCTTGAGGGGTGGGGCTTTGAGTTTACTAACTTATGTCCTTTGGATGTCCATGGTTACCATCCAAATTCGATTGGGAGTAGGGTTATTGCTTCGTCGTATGAGAATCTAGTTTTCATGGTATATCCTGTCCATGGGTTACCATCGCAATGAAGATAAGAACAGGGTAGAGGTCTCTTTTTGAGGAAACCACGTCTTCAGAGCCATATGATCTCTCTCATGTTCAGTCACAGGTCGCCATTCATGTGCTGCAGTTATGAAATGGGTTTGCGTTTTGACGTTGTTTGATCAAACCATGTGGTCTGGGGACTCTCTCTCTCTGTCTCTCACACACACACACACGCTTCTAAGCAAGGCATCCAAATATGAACCTTGACATATGTACCTATAATGTTGATGGTAGCCACATTCAAAGTTTCAGCAGAAAAATGGAAATAATAGCTGTGACAATAAGGGCTTACCGCTCAGTGGAGCCTCAGAATTTTCACCCATCTGAGGAAAAAAAACAACAGAACTAGTGCTTTGCCATTTCTATTATTTACCTAGAAATAAGAAAAAAAAAAGAAGTATTACAAAGCCAAGGCTGAGCACTTTGCCAATACCTGTCCACAGGAAATTTACTGATGAGTTCCATTACCTACTTAACTTTGGTTTCTTTCAAACTTGCCTTTTCAAGAAACGTCATTGGACCTCTGACTCTTATAATGCTCTGGAATTAGGCTCTTGATTGTTCTCATCTATTTAGGCAAAATTATCTTTGACTTCTATAAAATATGACTTTAATTGTTTTTAGTTTTAGCTCACACTCTTTTAGCCTGCCTCTATTATATTCTTATGCAAAAATTTGAGAGAGAGAGAGAGAGAGAGAGAGAGAGAGAGAGAGAGAGAGAGTACGT